TCTCCATGTTGGCTAGGCTGGTCTCGCACTCCTGACCTCAGGTGATCTGCCCACCTCAGCCTCCCAAAGTGCTGGGATTACAGGCATGAGCCACCGCACCCGGCCTGAATCTCATTTTTATATACAATTTTAAAAGTCATATGAATAAGATCAAACCTTGCTTGTATTGTGCAAAGCAGAATTGCCATCTGTTTGCCTCTTACAGTGTTATATTTTTTAAGTGTGTAAGGGTTTTCCCAAGCTTTACTAGGTATAGCTGACAAATACAATTATATATATTTCAGATATACGACATGCTTTGATATACATATAAACGGTAAACTGATTACCATGATCAAGTTAGTTAACACACCCATTACCTCACATAATTACCATTTGTGTATGTGTGGTGAGAACATTTAAGACTTACTCTCTTAGCAAATTTTACTAGTCAGCATAATCTTTTGAGATTTATTCATGTTATGGCATATATCAGTAATTCATTTCTATTATTGCTAAATAACTTTCCACTATTTACATGTACCACGATTTTTGTACCCATTCACCTACAGAGAGATATTTGAGTTGTTTCCTATTTCTCTCACTATTGTGAACAAACCTGCTATGAACATTTATGTACAAGCCTTTCTATGAACACGTGTTTTCACTTTTTCCTTTTTTTTTTTTTTTTTTTTGAGACAGGGTCTCACTCTGGCACCCATGCTGGAGTGCAGTGGCATGATCTCAGCTCACTGCAACCTCCGCCTCCTAGGTTCAAGCAATTCTCCCACCTCAGCCTCCCCAGTAGCTGGGACTATAGGCACCCACCACCACGCCCAGCTGATTTTTGTATTTTTTGGTAGAGTCAGGGGTTTCACCACGTTGGCCAGGCTGGTTTCAAACTCCTGACCTCAGGAGTTTGATCCACCCACCTTGGCCTCCCAAAGTGCTGGGAGCCACTGCACCTGACCTGTTTTCACTTTTCTTTGATATATATCTAGTAATAGAATTGGTGGGTGTATGTTTACATTTATTTAAAAAGTTGGCAGACTTTTCCAAGATGGTTGTACTGTTTCACATTCCCACTAGCAATGTACAAAAGAGTACCGGTGTGCCACATATTTGAGAACACTTGATATTGTCTGATAACTTGTGATAAGCATCTTTTCATATGCTTATTGGCCATCTGTATTTTTTTGAAGTATCTGTCCAAATTTAAGACCATCTTTAATTGAATTATTTATTATTGAGTTGTAAGAATTTTTTATAGATTCTGGGAAAATGTCCTTTAACAAACATGTGTATTGAGAACATTTTCTCCCAAAGTTGCATTGCTTTCATTTTCTTTTTTTTAATTAATTTATTTTTTAATTTTTTAAATTTTACTTTCAGTTTTCGGATACATGTGCAGAACATGCAGGTTTGTTAACATAGGTATACATATGCCATGGTGGTTTGCTGCGCCAATCAACCCGTCATCTAAGTTTTGTTTTTTTGTTTTTTGTTTTTTTTAAGGTGTGCACTTTTATTCAACTGGTCTAAAGTCAGTGTACAGGTAAGCCCCAGCTGCCTCCACCCACTCCCAGGGAGACCAAAAGCCTTCATACATCTCAAGTTGGGGGACAAAAAAGGAGGGCCAAAAGGCTGACATTCAAAATAAAACAAAATAAAAAAGCGTTAAGGCAAAGATTTAAAAAATTTTGCATTACATAATTTACATCAGAGCAATTCTATCACCTCCCCTGTGTGGACGTGGGAGAGGACTGGGCCATTCTCCTTAGAGAGAAGTGGGGTGGCTTTTAGGAGGGCAAGGAACTTCCTGTAACAATGCATCTCACAATATTTGGAATGACTATTTAAAAAAAAAAAAAGGAACAACGTACAATCAAAGTCCTCGGCCACAATGTAGAACTCTGTGGGATGCTCACTCCAACCAACTGCTGTCACCTTCACCGTTCCAGTTTTTAAATCCTGAGTCAAGCCAAAAAAAAAAAAAAAAAGAAACAAACAAACAAACAAAAAAAAAACAAATAAAGCCATGCCAATTTCATATTGTTTTCTGTGCAAGTTAGGTTTTGTCAAGAAAGGGTGTAATGTAACTAAGTCACAGTCCGCACAGGAGCATTTGCAGTGGGCAGTGGAGGGGCCAGACTCGTCATACTCCTGCTTGCTGATCCATATCTGCTGGAAGGTGGACAGAGAGGCCAGGATAGAGGTGCCGATCCACACGGAGTACTTGCACTCAGGAGGAGCAATGATCTTGATCTTCATCGTGCTGGGCACCAGGGCTAAGTGATCTCCTTCTGCATCCTGTCCACGATGGCCAGCGTACATGGTGGTGCCGCCAGACAGCACTGTGTTGATGTACAGGTCTTTGCAGATGTCCACATCACACTTCATGATGGAGTTGAAGGTAGTTTCACGGATGCCACAGGATTCCATGCCCAGGAAGGAAGGCTGGAAGAGTGCCTGGGGACAGTGGAACCGCTCATTGCCGTTGGTGATGACCTGGCCATCAAGCAGCTCGTAGCTTCCACCTTTTGCCCACTCAGTATGATATTGGCTATGGGTTTGTAACAAATAGCTCTTATTATTTTGAGATATGTTCCATCAGTACGTAGTTTATTGAGAGTTTTTTGCATGAAGTCATGTTGAATTTTATCAAAAGCATTTTCTGCATCTATTGACATAATCATGTGGTTTTTGTCATTGGTTCTGCTTATGTGATTGATTACGTTTATTGATTTGCATATGTTGAACCAGCCTTGCATCCTGGGGATGAAGCCGACTTGATCATGGTGGATAAGCTTTGAATGTGCTGCTGGATTTGATTTACCAGTATTTTATTGAGGATTTTTGCATTGATGTTCATCAGGGATATTGGCCTGAAAATTTTGTTTTCGTGTGTGTGTGTGTATGTGTGTGTGTGTCTCAGGTTTTGGTATCAGGATGATGTTGGCCTCGTTAAGTGAGTTAGGAAGGAGTCCTTTTTCTATTGATTGGAATAGTTTCCGAAGGAATGGTACCAGCTCCTCTTTGTACCTCTGGTAGAATTCAGCTATGAATCCTTCTGTTCCTGGGCTTTTTTTGTTTTGGTAGGCTATTAATTACTTTCTCAATTTCAGAACTTGTTATTGGTCTATTCAGGGATTCACCTTCTTCCTGGTTTAGTCTTGGGAGGGTGTATGTGTCCAGCAATTTATCCATTTCTTCTAGATTTTCTAGTTTATTTGCATAGAGGTGTTTATAGTATTCTCTGATGGTGGTTGTATTTCTGTGGGATCAGTGGTGATATGCCCTTTATCATTTTTTATTGTGTCTATTTGATTCTTCTGTCTTTTCTGCTTTATTAGTGTAGCTAGTGGTCTACCTATTTTGTTAATTTTTTCAAAAAACCATCTCCTGGATTCATTGATTTTTTGAAGGGTTTTTCGTGTCTCTATCTCCTTCAGTTCTGATCTGATCTTAGTTATTTCTTGTCTCCTGCTAGCTTTTGAATTTGTTTGCTCTTGCTTCTCTAGTTTTTTTTTTTTTTTTTTTTTAAGACAGAGTATCACTCTGTCCCAGGCTGGAGTGCAATGGTGGGATCTCGGCTCACTGCAACCTCTGCCTCCCAGGTTCAAGCTATTCTCCTGCTCAGCCTCCCAAGTAGCTGGGACTACAGTCACCCACCATCACATCCAACTAATTTTTGTAGTTTTAGTACAGATGGGATTTCACCATGTTGGCCAGGCTGGCCTCGAACTCCTGACCTCGTGATCCACCCGCCTCACCCTCCCAAAGTACTGGGATTACAGGTGTGAGCCACCGCACCTGGTGGCTTCTTTAGTTCTTTTAATTGTGATGTTAGGGTGTCAATTTCAGATCTTTCCAGCTTCCCGATGTGGGCATTTAGTGCTGTAAATTTCCCTCTAAACTCTGCTTTAACTCTGTCCCAGATATTCTGGTATATTGTCTCTTTGTTCTCATTGGTCTCAAAGAACTTCTTTATTTCTTCCTTAATTTTGTTGTTTACCCAGAAGCCATTCAGGAGCAGGCTGTTCAACTTCCATGTAGTTGTGCGGTTTTGAGTAAGTCTCTTTTTTTTTTCCCTTTTAAAACATATTTATTTAATGTACAGAATTGGAAAAAGGACTTCTTGATAATAAACATATTTCATGTAAACACAAGCTTTCAGTATCTATGAATATTTCTTTGCAAATACACCCTAAGTTACTTCTTCTCTACATAAAGGAGAAACTCCAAGTTCTGCTCTTTAGGAAGACATGGAGGGCAAGCAACACCTTAGGAGCAGCCATTGCTATTTCTCCCCTTTCCTTGGGTGACCTAACATTTTACAGGGACTAATGACATAAAGAAATATTAGATTCCATTGAGTTTAAACACAAATTTCCCACTGAGGGAATTAAATGTTTGATGCTTGTGAGTGTGAATAAATAATTAAATATTAGGTATAAGGCAGATTCCGAAACCAACTGAAGTATGAAAATAAATTGGCATAGATACCTAACAGTCAGTAAAATTAAATTTCACTACTGAGTATGCTATATGCTTCCTTCTCTATTCCAGTGGGTTCTCTTTTTTTGTCTAAGGTCTTCTCTGGCAGGACTCTAAGACAGTAAATTGCTTAACATCACCAGGTTTTTTTGTCAGATTTATTTTGGAAATAAACCAACTTCTTTTTTATTAAAGACCAAGGTTGTCTTTTTTGCTACACGCTTCTTTCCACTACATATTGACTCCCTGATGTAAGAAAATTTATAGGTTGAGAGAAAGTACTCTATGTTGGCTGTCCCACAATGTAATGACTGGTTAATAAAAAAGCCACTCAACCTGGGCAATATAGTGAGGCCTCGTTTCTGCAAAAACAATTAGCAAAGCATGGTGACACGCACCTGTGGTCCTAGCTACTTGGGAGGCTGAGGCAGGAGGATCACTTGAGCCCAGGACACAGAGGCTGCAGTAAGCCAAGACTGTGCCACTGAACTCTACTCTAACCTGGGTAACAGAAGGGGACCTTGCCTCAAAAATAACAATAATACTAAAGGAGCCACCCATTTAATCCTTTTCTCATCTGGTCTCATCCAAAGAGTAAGTCAAAATCATCAAGATCACAAAGAACTTATGACCAAGGTGTAACTCTGCAAATATCTTTAACTGGCCATGGCTTCTTCATTTGATCCCTTCCCACTCATTAGCAGACTCTAAGGAACAGATGCTGCAGCCTAGTTCAAAGTAGTACACACATACCTCGGGAAAGTGGACCAAAAAAGAGGAAGACACAGAATACAAGAAAGAGTTGACAAAGCAAATCTAATAAAAAGTATGGTTGGTTTGAACAGTCACTGGTATAAATTCCTTATGATTCTACTTTTTGACAGGCTCCTCCTTTTGACTACTGAGCAATTAAGGTATTTTCAGTTGTTTCGATTCCTTTTCCACACTGTCTCTAATGTTCTGTAGTTTTCTGGAGTTCTGAACCAGGGACACTAAACTCTCCCTAAAATCACTAGTCCCATGATCTCTGACAACATTTTGAAGCTCATCAAAGAAAGTCAACGTCTGTTTGAGTTTGGCCTGAACAATTTTTTGCTCTTCTAATTCTGCAAGAGGGGCCTGCTTAATACATAATTCAGTCTTGTACTTCTCCTGTAACTGTTCAAAATCTTTCTGGAGACGCTGAAAATCTTCCTCACTATAAGGTATCTCCTTACATTTATCTTCAGGAAGCAAGATGTTTGAGGGAATACGTAAAATCAGCTGCAAAAACAGTTGCTCCATTTTGCTAAAAAGGTTATCAAAATGTCCTTTCATGAAGCAAAGAAACTTCTCAGTGCATTTGCGAATCCGCACTGGGCTAATGTCACAGTCTGGGATGCCATCCAGCTTCTTCAGAATAACCTGTTCAACGGCCTGCATCACTTCAAATAGGTAGTCTTGAAATGCAATGTAGATTCGAAGCATGCACGTTTGTGGCATGAAGCCAAAGAACTGGGCCTCATAGGTCATTGGATTCACAGACATCTTGGCTTATTTTGCTATGTTATTTTCAGGTGTGAAAAACTGGAGCGACCATGAGGGTCATGAATTCGAGCACACACAGGCTTCCCACCACCTCCTTTAAACCGCCACTGGCTTGCCAGAGACAGACGGCGCGGTTGGCTCCTCAAAATTCCAACTGATACGCGCCTCGGCGAGCGAAAGTCTTAAGTTTCTTAATCCTAAATTCAAATTTGATTGCACTATGGTCTGACAGACTGTTATGATTTCCATTCTTTTGCATTTGCTGAGGAGTCCTTTACTTCCAAGTATGCGGCCAGTTTAAGAATAAGTGCCGGGGGAGGGGGGAGGGGGGAGGGATTGCATTGGGAGTTACACCTGATGTAAATGACGAGTTGATGGGTGCAGCACACCAACATGGCACAAGTATACATATGTAACAAACCTGCACGTTATGCACATGTACCCTACAACTTAAAGTATAATAATAATAAATTTAAAAAAAAGAAATATTTTGCTTTAAAATACACGTTAAAAAGAATAAAATTAGGCAGAAGAGAGATAAACAACATCATTAAAAAAAAAAAAAAAGAAGAAGAAGTGCCATGTGGCACTAAGAAGAATGTATATTCTCTTGATTTAGGGTGGAGAGTTCTGTAGATATCTATTAGGTCCACAGCTGAGTTCAAGTCCTGAATATCCTTGTTAATTTTCTGTCTCATTGATCTGTCTAATATTGACAGTGGGGTGTTAAAGTCCCCCACTATTATTGTCTGGGAGCCTAAGTATCTTTGTAGGTCTCTAAGAACTTGTTTTACAAATCTGGATGCTCCTGTATTGGATGCATATATATTTAGGATAGTTAACTCTTCTTGTTGCATTGATCCCTTTACCATTATGTGATGCCCTTCTTTGTCTTTTTTGATCTTTGTTGGTTTAAAGTCTGTTTTATCAAAGACTAGGATTGCAACCTACTTGCAAGCAAGAAAAAAAAATTGCTTTTTTTTGCTTCTTGGTAAATATTCCTTCATCCCTTTATTTTGAGCCTGTGTGTGTCTTTGAACATAAGATGGGTCTCTTGAATACAGCACACTGATGGGTCTTGACTTTTTATCCAATTTGCCAGTCTGTGTCTTTTAATTGGGGCATTTAGCACATTTACATTTAAGGTCAATATTGTTATGTGTGAATTTGATGCTATCATCATGATGCTAGCTGGTTATTTTGCACATTAGTAGATGCAGTTCCTTCATAGTGTCAATAGTCTTATATTTCGGTGTGTTTTTGCAGTGGCTGTTACTGGTTTTTCCTTTCCATATTTAGTGCTTCCTTCAAGAGTTCTTGTAAGTCAGGCCTGGTGGTGACAAAATCCCTCAGCATTTCCTTGTCTGGAAAGGGTTTTATTTCTCCTTTGCTTTTGAAGCTTAGTTTGGCTGGATATGAAATTCTGGGCTGAAAAATTCTTTTCTTTAAGAATGTTGAATATTGGCCCCCACTCTCTTCTGGCTTGTAGGGTTTCTGCAGAGGGATCCACTGTTAGTCTGATGGGCTTTCTTTTGTAGGTGACCTGGCCTTTCTCTCTGGCTGCCCTTAACATTTTTTCCTTCATTTCAACCTTGGAGAATCTGATGATTATGTGCCTTGGGGTTGATCTTCTCGAGGAGTATTTTAGTGGTGTTTTCTGTATTTCCTGAAGTTGAATGTTGGCCTGTCTTTCTAGGTTGGGGAAGTTCTCGTGGATAATATCATGAAATGTGTTTTCCAACTTGATTCCATTCTCCCTGTCACTTTCAGGTACACCAATCTATCGTAGGTTTAGTCTTTTCACATAGTCCCATATTTCTTGAAGGCTTTGTTCATTCTTTTTCATTCTTTTTTCTCTAATCTTGTCTTCATGCCTTTTTTCAGCAAGGTGATCTTCAATCTCTGATATCCTTTCTTCTGCTTGATTGATTCAGCTATTGATACTTGTGTATGCTTCCTGAAGTTCTCGTGTTGTGTTTTGCTTTTTGTTTTGTTTGTTTGTTTGTTTGTTTTTTAGCTTCATCAAGTTATTTATGTTCCTCTCTAAACTGGTTATTCTAGTTAGCAGTTCCTGTAACCTTTTATCAAGGTTCTTAGCTTCCTTGCATTGGGTTAGAACATGCTCCTTTAGCTCAGAGGAGTTTGTTATCACCCACCTTCTGAAGCCTGCCTCTGTCAGTTTGTTAATCTTATTCTCCATCCAGTTTTATGCCCTTACTGGAGAGGCATTCTGGTTTTTGGAATTTTCAGCATTTTTGCACTGATTTTTCCTCATCTTCATGGATTTATCTACCTTTGATCTTTGAGGCTGATGACCTTTGGATGGGGTTTTTGTGTGGGGGTCCTTTTTGTTGATGTTGTTGTTGCTTTCTGTTTGTTGGTTTTTCTTCTAACAGTCAGGCCCCTCTTCTGCAGGTCTGCTGCAGTTTGCTGGAGGTCCACTCCAGACCCTGTTTGCCTGGAAGGCTGAAGAACATCAAAGATTGCAGCCTGCTCCTTCCTTTGGAAGCTTCATCCCAGAGGGACACCAGCCTGATGCCAGCCAGAGCTCTCCTGTATGAGGTGTCTGTTGACCCCTGTTGGGAGGTTTAATGTGTAGCTTCAGCACATCTTTAACTGTCTAGTCAGCATTGGGGTCAGTTACACACCTGAGGAGTCAGTCTGTCCCTTAGCAGAGCTGGTGTGCTGTGCTGGGAGAATCCCCCTTGTCAGGATCAGCTGCTGTCTTCAGAGCCAGCAGGCAGGAAAGATTAAATCCAGTGAAGCTGTGCCCACAGCAGCCCCTCTCCCCAGGTGCTCTGTCCCAGGGAGATGAGCGTTTCATCTGTAAGCCCCTGACTAGGGCTGCTGCATTTCCTTCAGAGATGCCTTGACCAGTGAGGAGAAATCTAGATAAGCACTCTGGCCACAGTCACTTTGCCGCACTGTGGCAAATTCCACCCAGTCCACGCCTCTCCGTCTCCTTAGCACTGTCAGGGAAGAACGGCCTACTAAAGCCTCGGTAATCGCAGATGCCCCTCCTCCCACCAAGCTCAATCATCCTAGGTCGACCAGACTGCTGTGCTGGCAGCAAGAATTTCAAGTCAGTGGTTCTTAGCTTGCTGGGCTCCATGGGAGTGGAACCTGCTGAGTGAAACCACCTGGCTCCCTGGCTTCAGCTCCCTTTCAAGGGGAGTGAACGGTTCTGTCTTGCTGGGGTTCCAGGTGCCACTAGGGTATGAACAAACTCCTGCAGCTAGCTGGGTGCCTGCCCAAACAGCCACCTAGTTTTGTGCTTGAAACTCAGGGCCCTGGTGGTGTAGGTTCACCAGGAAATCTGATCTGCTGATTGCAAAATCCATGAGAAAAGTGTAGTACCTGGGCGGGTAGCACAATACCTCATGGCTTCCCTTGAGAGGTCCCCTGGCTCCTTGCACTTCCTGGGTAAAGCAATGCCCCACCCTGCTTCTGCTCGCTCTCCATGGGTTGCACCCACTGCCGAAACAGTCCCAGTGAGATGAACTGGGTACCTCAGTTGGAAATGCAGAAGTCACCCCCTTCTGCATTCATCTCACTGGGAGCTGCAGACTGGAGATGTTTCTATTCAACCTTCTTGCCCCTCCCCTTCATTTTCTTAACAGTGTCATTCAAAGGGGAGACATTCTAATTTTGATGAAGTTAAATTTACCATTTTTTTCTTTTTTGTGCTGTGCTTTTTGCATTCTAAGAAATCTTGCTTAACCCAAGGTTTCATTTTCTCCCATTTTCTAGCACTTTCATATTATAATTTTAGGTCCATGATCCATTTTTAGTTATTTTTTTTATGAACAAGTGTAACTCTTTATTAAGATAGAATTGTTCTTATTCAAGAAATAGATTAAAATGGTTAAGTACAATTAAATAGCTCCAAAAGTCTTACAATGAAAACAACAGTCCTGCCAGTTGTTCTTTCCAGAGGCAAACACTTTTCATTCTCTTAGTTTTTCCTTCTGTTAGTTACCTTCATGGGTTTTTCCAAATTGTTATTTTTTTAGTTTTTCAAGTGAATGCATATATTAATACAAAAATTTTTTTAAAACCTCTTCAGTTTATAATGCATCCTAAGAGTCCCCTGCCCCATCCCTCCTAATTCTCCAGAGCAATGACTTTTAACTCTTCCAGCAATGTCTTCTGTTTTTTTCCTCACATAACTACTTAGTCATTTCTTAATTCTTTTATACATTATATAGTGATTTCTGGATATAACAGGTGAGGATTTAGCTCTTACACCATCACTATCTTCACTTCCTCCCATATTGTCCCAAAGTGGTTACCATATTTAGGGGCTAAGCAGTCACCACATCATTATGACTGTGTATGTATTGCTCCTTGTTGAGAAAAACAGCGTATTATGCTCTTCCTATCCTGTACTTCTTTCTGCCCTAGAATTAATGATTGCCTAACCAACCCTTTCCCCTTATTTTTTTACTTCTGCTTTATCGTCAATGAACTTCTTTCCAAATGCCCCAAATTTGGCAATAACTTATTATTTTTAAGAGAAGGGATCTCCCTAAGGTAGCCAGGCTGGTCTGGAACTCTTGGGCTCAAGCCATCCTCTTGCTGAGCCTCCTGAGTAGCTGGGACTACAGGCATGGGCCATTCCACCCAGCTAACCTATTAATATTTTTACTGTTTCTTTTTAAAGGCAGCTCCATAGCTGGAATATTGCCTGTGTTGGATCCTATTTGCTGGATCTATGTCATTCTCTGGTTTGTGTACTCCTTCACTTTGCTGGAGTATTTTCTCCAATAGCTTCCCAAAAAAGGGTACATGGAGCTAACCCCTGAGTCTTTGCTTGTCTAAAAATGTATTTTACCTTCACCTTTGATTATTTGGGTGAATATAGATTTATCAGTTGAAAATAACTTTCTAGAATTCTGAAGGCATGATTCCATTGTTTTCAGATTCCTTTTCAAGACAAGGTCTCTTCTGTCACCCAGGCTGGAGTGCAGTGGCACAATTACGACTCACTGCAGCCTTAGACTCATGGGCTCAATTGATTCTTCCATCTCAGCTCCCTGAGTAGATGGGAATACAGGTGTGTGCCACAATGCCCAGCTAA